CCGCTGGATCTCCCCTCCTCGTGAACCAAACACTCGTGACAACTATGTCGAGGGAAAACCCCGACAATCTGTCATCTCCAAAATCGACAGTAATGATTGACTGTAGTCACAGTCTCTTAGTTCAAAATTTCAAGAGGGGAAATCTGGTCAATGGTTCAGCAAAGGATGGTTGGTCTTATGTAGCCTTAGGTCCCATGTCAATCTCTTTCAAAAAACCAGCCTGGGTGTAGAAAATTACATATGGCTCACAGGCTGAATATTTTAGGGGACACTGTAGAACAGGGACTTGGGAATTAGCTTTGGGCAAGATAAGCAATGAAGTGCAGCTAATATGTATTCATAACTCATGAACCACATAATCTTCTTCTTTCTCATCTTCTCCCTCTCAAGTGGTGGGTATGGGGGACATAAGGAGGGATTTCAAACAATGTATCCTGTCTGCTCTCAGAATCTAGTCTAGTATATGTAAGAGGTAACCACAGGCTTACATATCCCAAAGACCTCAACAAAATCTACATACTTGATTCTACATGTGTTGTCTTCTTCCTGAAACCACTGCGAAGTCTATTCTTGGCAATGGTGAAAGCCTGGAAATGCCCAAATGGAGATTCTGTGGTTTCTTCAATTTCAATATCACACCTTCTGATGCACTGTGGCATACTGCATAGTGCATGGACAATGTGGTTAAACTGTAATATATTTGAGGATGGAAGGGAAATCATTACTTAGGAAGCACTGAATATCTGTTAATGATGATGATATGAGTGATGGTTGTACATCATGATTAATGTAACCAATGTCACTGAATTGTACATATAAAAAATGTTGAATTAGCAAATGTTGGGTTATATATATTTTTACCATGATCAAAAGTAACATATTTAGACATTGAGGAGAATTCTCCTTTCCTTGAGTTTTTATCTGATCATTTTGAAGTTTTATAGTTAATATATTATTACAGTGGTTTGACAGTTCACTTGACAGCTCTAAAATAACATTCTTGGCTTTTAGATGACAATCTTATATTGAAACCCCAAATGGGTTTTTGAAACTTAGAACATTAGCCAAATTTTGGGTTCATGAAAATGGAAGTCTGTAAATTTATAAACATTCAAAATGGAGAAATTATGAGTAAGCTCATTTTATGATCCTACACTAATTATTGCAGCAAAGAATTGAAGCTTCTTTCCTATAACGAAGTTCAGTTACGTTTTGGCAGGAGGAAATGGCCTGTTAATCATAAGATTGGTAGTTCAAACCTGCCAGCTGCTCCTCAGCAACCCTATATAGGATTGCTATGAGTCAGAAATGACTCCATGGTACTTAACAACAACAATCTGAATGTGAGAATCAGATTTAGAGAAAATTGTTGCTGTTGTTTTTAAGTGCTGTCCAGTAGGTTCTGATTCATAGCAACCCTGTATAGGGTTTCCGAGAAGCGGTTGGTGTGTTTGAATTGCCAACCTTGTAGTTAGAAGTTTAGTGCTTATATCCTACAGTGCCACACCAGGATTCCTTAGAGGGAACCTGTGAACAATCCAAATCTGTTTTTCCTTTTGAAGTCTCTGAGGTCGGAGATAAATTGAAGCCAGGTAAAAGGGTACACAGGAAGAAATGCAAAGTAGACTAACAAGAAAGGGCAACTCTCCGTTTTTTCAAAACATGTGGCTCCTGAACATCATTTATTTTACTATTTTCAAAACAGTAACTATTTAGCTCTCACCCAAGTACAGCTATTGGAAATTCTGGTTGACTCCCCCAAAACCCCTCAAAAAAAAAAACAAGAAAAAAGTTTATACTTGCATTTTATTGACACAATAAAACACCTTTAAACCAAAATCTTGATTTATCTTGGAGGAAAACAAAACTCCTGTCACTGAAGTCTGGTGCAGCACTATTTTCGTCCTGTAATTTGTTTTATAGGCTACTAATTAACAGGGCAAAGTCTTTGCCAGGAAAGTTAATCACATTTTCCCATTTTCTTCTTTTCTAACAAGACCTGGCCTTTAATTAAAGAGCAAGTTCCAAGGGCATGATCAGCTGCTGATATCAGACTAGGAGAAGAGCAAGGTGAAAACTGCTGTGTAGTGTAACAGAAGAAAGAGTGGCACATAGAAGGAGGAGTGGAGGCAGATAAAGGAATTGCACCGGTAACCTCTAAATGAAGGGATTTTTTCCTTAGATATTCCCATGCCCTTTCTTTAGTCATCTTTTATCTCTTCCCCAAGACTTCCTATTTCTCCCCTGGCTCCACTCAACATGGACACGCTGTTGTTAGTTGACTTTGAACCAATTTGGATTCGTGGCAACCTGATGTGTGCAGAGTAGAACTGCTCCAAAGGATTTTCAAGACTCTGACCTTTCAAACACAGAAAACTAGGTATGTTTTCCGAGATGCCTCTGGGGGAGTTCTAACAGCCAAGGGTTTCCTCTAGTAATCAAAAGCTAACCTTTCACACCACCCAGGGATTCCTACACGTGCACTGTTGTTTTTAAATGCCTTGAGTTCCTAACGACTAATAGCGAACATGTATAGAGTTTCCACGGAACAATTGGTGAGTTTGTTGTTGTCAGGTGCCATCGAGTCGGTACCGACCCATAGCGACCCTATGCACAACAGAACGAAATACTGTCTGATCCTGGGCCAACCACACTGCTGTTGCTACGCTTGAGTCCATCGATGCTACCACTTGGCCACTCCATCTCGTTAGGGGTCTTCCTCTTTTTCTCTGATCCTCCACCTTACCAAACATGATATCCTTCTCCAGTGACTGGTCCCTCCTAACAATATGTCTGAAGTATGAGAGATGAAGTTTGGCGATCCTGGCCTTAAAAGCAGCATTTTCCCCAAATCTGTGTTTTTAGGGAACACTCACAGCTCATTCCTGTCCCATTACACTTGAACCTGCTCCCTTCACAGGTCTTTAACTGTGGTCTTTGCTCCAGTCACTCATCTATCACCTTTTCCCTTCCAGCTCTCCTCTCCTCCAAGGCTCAAGTTTCTTCCTCATTCCTTTTCTCCCTCTCCCCATCCCTTTCCTGAAGGTTCTGGACCAGAGGCAGCTGTGGGAGCTTCTGCTCGCTCCAGCATCCATCTCAGACGCGCTTGGGGCGGGGTGGCGGGTGGGGCTTGGAGGGGAGACGAGAAGCAGGGTGGGAAGACTAAGAGAGTAAGGGCCCAGCTCACACTCCGGAGTCAGGAGCCTGACGTCACCGCGCTGTGACTGTCAATCTCCATCGGACGCGCAGCTCGCAGTCGCCGTTCTAGTGACCGCCTCTCTCACTCCCGCGGCGCCGGCACAGCCACAAGCGCCTGGCGCTCCGCTTGGCTCCAGCTGCGACCACCTACTGCAGGCAACCGCTCCATCTGCACAAGGAGCGCAGACCAGCGCCCAGCCACGGTGCCCATGACCAGCGAATCCTAGTTCCCCAGGTGAGCGGCTGGGCTCCGGGGAGGAAATTTAAGGTGTAGGTAGGGTAAGGGGTTAATAATGGCCAGGGACCGTCCTTTCCAAAACAAGAGAAGGGGAGCCACGCTTTATTCCACACCCCCAAAGACACCAGCATCTACTCTTAGGAGTCCCTGGGGACTGCTGGCTTCGCTCCGCTCGACACTAGGAAAAAACTTCTAGTTCAGCACCGCGGACAACGACTCCGCAGCGCAACCTTAGAGAACGCCACTACCCAGGTGGCCCTTCACAGAAACAGCCTGGACTAACGCCCCCCTACTCGGTGTGTAAGGATGTGTGTGCACTTAAAAGCACACTCACAGGATTGATCTGTGTGTATGTGAGTGCATGCTACTATCCGTACGAGTAAAAACTCAGAGGTCCGCGCGGGGACTTGTGCACATTTCACAACCTCATTCAACAGGTGTTTTATTTCTCTGGGGCTAGCACTTCCCTTAGCCTCTCTTCTCTGCTGGGTGGGACGGGCAATACGACCAGGGCAGCCGTACATCGGGAAATTCTCTGGCCACCTTAACCGCACACCTGACGGGCGCTCTCCCTCTCCACGCAGGGTGCAGCATCCAGCCGCAATGAACGCGAGCGCCTCCTCACTCAATGAGTCTCAGGTGGTGGCGGTGACGGCCGAGGGAGCGGCGGCGGCGGCCACCGCGGCAGGGGCGTCGGACACCAGCGAATGGGGTGCCCCTGCAGCTGCGACGGCGCTGGGAGGCGGCGGCGGGGCTAACACATCGCTGGAGCTGTCATCACAGCTGCCCGCCGGGCCCCAGGGGCTGCTGCTGTCTGCGGTGAACCCGTGGGACGTACTGCTATGCGTGTCGGGGACCGTGATAGCGGGCGAGAATGCGCTGGTGGTGGCTCTCATCGCAACCACCCCGGCGCTGCGCACGCCGATGTTCGTGCTGGTGGGCAGCTTGGCCACCGCCGACCTCCTAGCTGGCTGCGGCCTTATCCTTCACTTTGTGTTCCAGTACTTGGTGCCCTCGGAGACCGTAAGCTTGCTCACCGTGGGATTCCTTGTGGCCTCCTTCGCCGCCTCGGTGAGCAGTCTGCTAGCCATCACTGTGGACCGATACCTGTCTCTGTACAACGCGCTCACCTACTACTCCCGCCGGACCCTGTTGGGTGTGCACCTCCTGCTCGCGGCCACCTGGACGGTGTCCATCGGTCTAGGGCTGATGCCTGTGCTGGGCTGGAACTGCCTGGCGGAGCCAGCCGCCTGCAGCGTGGTGCGCCCGCTGACGCGCAGCCACGTAGCGCTGCTCTCAGCCACTTTCTTCGCGGTCTTCGGAATCATGCTGCACCTGTACGTGCGCATCTGCCAGGTGGTCTGGCGCCACGCGCATCAGATCGCGCTTCAGCAGCACTGCCTGGCCCCGCCGCACCTAGCTGCCACCAGGAAGGGCGTGGGTACGCTGGCAGTGGTGCTGGGCACTTTCGGTGCCAGCTGGCTGCCTTTTGCCATCTACTGCGTGGTGGGCAGCCACGAGGACCCGGCCGTCTACACCTACGTCACCCTGCTGCCAGCTACCTACAACTCCATGATCAACCCCATCATCTATGCCTTCCGCAACCAGGAGATCCAGCGCGCCCTGTGGCTCCTGTTCTGTGGCTGTTTCCAGTCCAAAGTGCCCTTCCGCTCCAGGTCCCCTAGTGAGGTCTGAAGGCACCCTCCGCACGCTCTCAACACCACACCCCCAACAGGCCAGCCTTTGGTGAGCTTCTCAGTGCCTGATGATGAACTCAAGATCCCACTGGTGTGCATTTGACTTTGGAAAGAAAGATCTCAAATTAAAAAAAAAAAAAAAAAGCATCAAAATAGAAAGCTAAATAAATGCAACAATCTCACAAAGATAAAGAGGCTTGTTGGCACTTTACATATACAGTGTATACATGTGTACATATATATACAAATATTTGTATCTTTTGGAGGTGTTCAGAATGTGGAGCTTCCTGTTCTGTAAACCCAACAAAGATGTGGTTGTATACTCGAATTGTACATCACATTTGTCAAGTGAAGACATTCCAATACTGCTTAATTATAGCACTTTATTTTTAGCTGCTGAACTGCCAAAACAGTGTTGCCATTTCCAAGGATGGGGGGAGGAGGGGAAGGGAAGAGAATAAAAGGTGTATTTTTACTGTATGTGATAGAATATTTTGCTGCATATGCACCAATAAATTACATATTTTGTACACAAATAAACATGTTGTAAAATGTCATTTTAGTGTGTGATTTACTCTAGAATTATTAGTTGAAAGCTGAATTATTAGTGTATTTATCTGAAAGGTGTATTGTGTATACTCTCCTGAGAAAATATTGATGTCAAAAATATATAGATTTGTTTACATTGTTCATAAATTTACATTGAAATATTTAATCCAGATCATACATAGGAGGCAGGAAGAAAGCAATGTGTTTATGCAATAATATTAACAGGACACTAATGGCCCCCAACAAGATGGATTGACAAGGTGGCAGCAACAATGGGCTCAAACACAACAACAATTGTGAGGTTGGCACAGGACCAGGCAATGTTTCGTTCTGTTGTGCATGGTTCTGGGTTGGAACCAATGGCAACTTATAACAACAACAGTAGCTTGCTAGTGTTACTATTGCAAATTAACCTATCTCTTTAGTAACTGCCCATAGGATTAGCTCTGGAAAGTTAACCGAAAGGTTGGCAGTTCAAACACACCAACTGCTTTCAGAACCCCTAAACAGGGTTGCTATGAATCAGAACTCACTCAAAAGCACACAACAGCAACAACAGGTAACTGAATATGGGAAACAAGTTTCAGAGAAAATCTGAAATCAGTGCTTCATGTCATCATATGTGCATTTGTGAATCCTGAAATCACAACTTCCAGTTGTGGTTTTTCCAGTATGGAAATAATTTTAATCATTGAGAATTCATATTGACTGAGTATATTATTACTGGCCAGGTCATATAGAAAAATGTTCACTCTTACAAAATGAATAAATTCTTCCAAGATAGAATTCCAATGTATATTGTGATCATGAGGTAAGTGAAAACAAGGTCAGCAACATTTCTGGAGGCATGCTCATCTTCAAACTATAGGGCATTAAGATCCTGAAGAACTAAATATCTCCATATGCAACTAGCGGTCATTGTGTATATCATTCAGTGAATTATAGTTCTATGGCTCTTCTCCTCCCCTACTTACAGAATGTCATGAAGATGAGTAAGTTAGTGTTCAGACATGTTCTGAGAACCTATGAAGAAATATGCACACAAGTGCAAGTAGCTATTGCTCTTAGGCCTTAGAAAATTATGCACAAGGAAATTCATTTACATATTACACAAATATGCATTGAATGCCTGCTAAATGTTAATCACTCTTCTAAGGCTAGAGATATAGAAGTGAACAAAATATGCAATGGAATTACACTCTGATGTAGGAGACGTACAACAAGCTATAAACAAGTATGTGATGTCATTGAAGGAAAATAAAGCAGGGTGAAGGGATGGTAAGCAGTAGAGGATGCTTCTTTGGTTAGGAAGATCAGGGAAGGTCTTTAGGAGGAGATAGCATTTAGGAAGCACCATCTATAAAGTGAGGGTGCAAGATATATAAGTGTCTGGGAGACGAGCTTCCTAGGCAGAGAGAGAAGCAGAGGTGCAGGTTTTGAGGTGGGAGTCTGGGAGAAGGTCAATATGGCTAGAACAGAGTGAGCAAAGGGAAGAGACGTATTAGAGAGAGAACTGTGGTCAGATCACTGAGTGACATGGAAATGCCATGATCTGACTTATGTTTCTAAAAAATCACTATTCCATTGAGAATAGTCACTTGGGGGGTAAAAATAGGAGCAGGAGATAGGGATCTATAACCCTAATTCCCATGAGAAAGGATGGTGGTTTGGAGTACAGTGGCAGTGTTGGAGATGAAGACAAATGGTAGGGTTCTAAAAGTATGTTAAAGGAAAATCAGATATAGGTTATGAAAGGAATGACTCGAAGGTCATTTGCTTTGAGCAAACGAGAGAGTGCAGAGGTTTTTAGTGAGTAGAGAAAAACTGGGGTGACGGAAGTGATACGTTGAGATGAGTGGAAATCAAATAATTAGTTTTAGACACCAAAATGGACAGGTCAGTTAATTCATTTATTTACTTAACAAACACTTCTAAGGCACTTACTATATTCCAGACACTGTTCTAAGCACTTTACAAATATCACCCTAATAGTTCTGAACCAGTCAGCCCCAGCAGGAAACAAATGGTATGCTCAAACCAGGTAATTGAAGAGAGTTATAAATGAAGGTACTATTTATAAAGGTGTGAGCACAGTTAAGGGAAACCAACACGGGGATAGTGAAGCCCCCTGGAGCTAGCACCAGCAGGGCTGCCAGAAGGGAACTGGGGAGAGAGCAATTACTGGGACCAGGAGAGTGGGCTGTAACTGCTGACTGTCCAGCATGACCGGTGACCTTTAGGAAAGGAAGGCAGCTACTGCCAACCCATAACTTGACAGGAACACCTTCCTTATCCCATCTTCTGATGGGCCTTTGCCTTCATTCAATTAGACCAATCAGAAGAGTCAGGGGACACAATAATCATTTGATGCAGTTCACGCAGGTCAGCCTTCCCGAGCACTGAGCAAAGTGGAGAAAGATAAAGAATAGATCTGGAGATGCAAAGAGAATATTTAATGTTAATAATTTGAGGCTGTTGTTGTTATTATTTGCCATTGAGTGGGTTCCAACTCACAGTGAGAACCATGCACAACAAAATGAAACACTGCCTGGTCCTGCGTCGTCCTCATAATTGCTACATTTGAGCCAATTTCTGTTGTCACTGTGTCAATCCATCTTTTTGGGGTCTTCCTCTTCTTTACTGACCCTTCACTTTCCCAAGCATGATGTCCTTCTTCTGATAACATGTGTCAAGTATGAGAGACAAAATCTCGCTATAGGGTTTCTGAGGCGCACTCTGGCTGTTCCTCTTCTAACACAGATTTGTTTGTTCTTTTGGCAGTTCGTGCTACTTTTAATATTCTCCAGCACCATAACTAAAAAGCACCAATTCTTCTCCAGTATTCCTTATTCATTGTTCAACTTTCACATACAAACGAGATGATTGAAAATCTCATAGTTTGGGTCAGGTGCATCTTAGTCCTATAATTATTTTATTTATGTATTTTTAAACTTTTCAGTGTTAATTGAGTGAAGGTTCTCAATGATTGCAATCCCCTCAATGTAACAACGGTGATCCCACTTCCTCCCTGTGGTTCTTATTCCCATTCCACCCACCTTCCCATCCCTTCTCAACTTTGTTCCCAGGTAAATGTTGCCCTTTTGATTTTGAATGATTGACCATTCCATGTTTAGCATACCTTACCAGTGTTGTTGTACCCCCTATATACCAATCTACTGATTGGCTAAAAATTGAGCCAAGAGGGTAAGTTCCTTACCAGACCTGAAGGGGGGTCAAGGACCAGTCTCAGGTGCCTCCAGTCTCCTTAAAAGAATTTTGAGTTTTGTTTCATATTTTCTCCCACTCTATCCAGGATCTTCTAATGTGATCCCTTTCAGGGCAGTTGGTAATGGTAGCAAGGCACCATCTAGTTTTTTGAGTCTTAGAGTTGTAGAGATTGATGTTCATATATTCCATTAGTTTGTTGGACTAATTGATCCTAAAGCATTTTAAATTTTCATCACTATTCTTTCTGCTGCACACAGAGAGACTGATAGCTGCACCTTAGGTGGCCATTCATGAGCTTTTAACATCACAATGACTACTCACCAAAGTAGGATATAGAACATTGTCTTTGTGGACTTACGTTATGCTAATTGACCATGATGTTCCCTGAGACTATGGTCCCCAGGCCCAGCAACTGATTGCCTTAAGATGCTTGATAATATCTAAGAAATTTTCCCCATTTTGTCCATCATATGCTCCACCACAAGAAGCTCTGGTAGCGTAGTCGTTGTGAATTGGGCTGCGAACCGCAAGGTCAGCAGTTCGAAACTACCAGCTGTTCTATGGGAGAAAGATGAGGCTTTCTGCTTCTGTAAAGATTTACAGCCTTGGAAACCCTGTACAGGGTCGCTATGAGTTGGAACCAACTCCATGGCACATAACAACAACAACAACACACTCCACCACATTTATAGTTGTGTTTGCAGCAAGGGTAAATACTCATGTACAAATATCCTCTTTCAAACTTAAATATTTAAGGGCACTCTCTCATTCTTTCTCCCACAGCCATTCAACCTGTGTCTCCGTCCATGTATCTATCTGCAGAGCACTGCAGAACACTACTTCCTTCTATCCCCTTTACCTCTTACTTACTTCCTTGTGTCTTCACCTATCTTCATCATTCTTCTGCTAACCTCCTTCTTGTATTTTGCCCTCACCCTTCTTATATATTGCCCTCCCCATCATCTTAGTTAATATGTGTGTATCCTCTAGCGAGCAAATTACTCTCCCTTCCTTCCAAACCCTGGTAATCATCAATGAATGTTTCTTCTAGAATGAAAACTTTTCTTGAGCTGTTACAATAGTGATCTCATACAATATTTATTCTTTTGTGATTGACTAATTTCACTCACCATAATGTCCTCCAGGCTCATCCATGTTATAAGGTATTTTGCAGATTCATCATTTTTCACTGCTGTATATATCTCATTATGTGAATGCACTAAAATTGTTTGTCAAGTCTTCCACTGGTAGGCACTTAGGCTGTCTCCATTTTTTGCTTTTGTGAATAG